CTCTCTCTCTCTCTCTCTCTCTCTCTCTCTCTCTCTCTCTCTCTCTCTCTCCAACGCAGCAAGATATGAGTTAACATATATGAAATGACAGATATAGAAGACTTTCGCTTGTGTCAACTTAAGATATCTCTAGATTTATGAATGATGGTAAAAGTTAAGTCAACATAAAGGATGAGAGAGAGAGAGAGAGAGAGAGAGAGAGAGAGAGAGAGAGAGAGAGAGAGAGAGAGAGAGAGAGAGAGAGAGAGAGAGAGAGAGAGAGAGAGAGAATTATGGTAGGTGGTACTTTTACTAAAGCAGAATAATCGGTGGTACTTTTACTAAAGAAGAATAATTACCTAAATTAACATTCAATATATTTAAATAAAATAATTACCTTTTTTGGTTCGTCATTTCGCTCAGTTTCTATTCCACATTAATTTCCATAAACCTTCTTGTGAATGGCTTAGCGTTTATGTGAATGACGTAGGTAACCTAGTGTTTGTAGTACTCTACTTTTATTATTAAAACTAACTCTTATGTTTAAATCATAAGTGTGATTTATATTAATTTGAGCAATGTGAAGAAAAACAGAAACGAAAAAAGAAAACAATGAACCTATTAATATGCAGAAGTGATTATGAATAGTCACAAAAGGCATAGAACTGCATTTTGTAGCTGACACGTTCGGGAATGTAAGGAGTTCATTTACTCGGTCAATACACAGCCGTCTGCAGCAAATGTTAACTCCTTTTCATAGGGCAAATATATGTAACTGTATGTGATATAAATAAAATATATGTACAGTATGTATGCTGTATCAATGATATACCACTCGTTGCATAAATTTGTCATTAAAAGAAAATTCGGCAAGCCTTGCTACCTTTTAATTAGGAATTTATACATCTCGTGGTATATAATTGACAGAGCGTACATAAGATGTATGTATGTATATATACATATACATATATATATATATATATATATATATATATATATATATATATATATATATATATATATATATATATATATATATATATATATAGCTTACTGTGCTAGACACAAGATGTTACATTTATAAGTTCATAAGTTATTGATATTTGTTTGGAATGCCTATTGTATCTAAATTAGCATTATCCCTTCGGGGGTTTTGTTGGAGCGAGAATATTTAGACTGTATATTTCTCAGCATCTCAACTAAGGAGCTACATCATATTCCATTATCTCGCATGATTCGAGTTTGTTCAGCAGACACATTAAAATATTTCAATTATTCCTTTGTACATATGTGGGTCGGAACTATACTAATTGTAATAGTTGTCAATAGGTCGTTACAATTGAGCCTCAGGCATGCCGGGAAAAAAAAGCCAGATGGCGGATTGGTAAAGAGTGGATCAATGAATCATAGTGTTTATTGTGTATTGACAATGTGTCAAGACAGTTATCAAATTGTTCAAGTCCCATGACACGAAAACAATCTAAATCTTTGTAAAAACAATGCTCGCTTTTCAAAATGTCAGATAATGTTTAGTCCCAACAAGCGGTCCTTTACTTGCTTGCTTAGTCACTCCGATTCTCAACGACAGCGGTGAAACACTTCCACATTTAGGTGACCTGGAGTACCGTTGTATAGAAATAAGGCTCTTGACACTTGTGTTTTAAGCTAATTCAATTATCCTTTTGTTCATGATAGAAAGAAAAAGCAAACACACGTCTGTCAAGTTTATTTCCTATGTTATCAGATCGAACGTCAATCGATATTTTCTTGCGGACTCAACCCAGCTCAGTTCCAGATATACCAGAGTCGAAGACAGCGTCATTCACATATTGTACTGCGAATTTCTTTAACACAAAGATAAAAGCAAAACAAAACGGAAACAAAAGTCACATGAACTGAAGTTCCGACCCTGTTCGTTAGTTATGCTACTAATTTAATACCATATAAACATAATTATATATTAATAAAATACGAACACATTATCACATGAATTAAATATACTTGATATCATAAGAATGGTTTATATGCATTTGTTGTGGCACAAACGTTTTATATCATATATTTTCAAGACAAAATATAATGTTCTGTATGTATCATATGTAATGTGTATATATATGTATCATGTGTGTATATGTGAAACATGTATAATTTGTATCATGTGTAATGCTTATATGTGTCTCATGTGTAATGTGTATATGAGTATTTGTATATGAGTATTATGTGTAATATGTATTTATCATGTTTATCATATGTAATATATATATATATATATATATATATATATATATATATATATATATATATATATATATATGTATGTATGTATATATATATATATATATATATATATATATATATATATATATATATATATATATATATATATATAATGTGTAATGTGTATATGCGCATCAGGTGTAATGTGTATATGTGTATTATGTGTAATGTACATGTGCATTATGTGTAATTAATATATGTCACAATATTATCGTGCTATATACTTGTGTTATTCATTCTTTGTACATTCAAAATCAGATGTTACATGATAATCTTATATGTGCACAGAATATTTATATTTGTATCTTTTTCTTTTTAGAGAAAAGCGGCTGCGCTGTCTCAGCGGTAAGCGTGTCGTGCTCGTGACAAGAAGGATGTGGGTTCGATATCCGCTCAGATGATGTTGAGTCGGCCGTCTTGGTGTGTGAACGGCACTTTACTCCAATTGGCAAAACACGATATAACCTTTAATGTGGTCATGTGCCATTAAACATCAACCAACCAACCCACCAACCAAACTAACTAACCCATCAACCCACTAGCTTGATGTGAATGCAAAGTCAAACTTTTGTACTTAGCAGTAGTCTGTCAGCAAAAGGGATATTTTCTTGAAAATTACCGTGTATTGGCTACACAGTTATGAAGATCTTTCTAGGGAAATGAGGCGAGTGATGTGGGAAATGAAACAATTACTTGTCAATACAATAAGGGGATCAGCTAGCTAGTTTTTCCTAAAGCTATAAGAAGAAACAAAGCATTCTGCTTGATTTTTATACATCTGCCATTTTGGCGGAGCAAATCATACTATCATGCTGTGTGTCCGTCTGTTCTTACCTTTTTCTTTCCTCGCAAAAACTTACGTTACTTAGCACGTACCTTCACTGATCTTAGTAAACAACTTACACTTGTAGGAGGAAGAAAGATGTCTGTGGGATTTGGGGTCAAAATGTTTAAGGTTAAAGCCGCTGTGACTGAAAGAAGAGCAATGTTTAAGGTTAAAGCAGGTGTGACTGAAAGAAGAGCAATGTTTAAGGATACAGCAGGTGTGACTGAAAGAAGAGCAATGTTTAAGGTTAAAGCCGCTGTGACTGAAAGAAGAGCAATGTTTAAGGTTAAAGCCGCTGTGACGAAAAGAAGAGCAATGTTTAAGGTCAAAGCCGCTGTGACGAAAAGAAGAGCAATGTTTAAGGTCAAAGCCTCTGTTACTGAAAGAAGAGCAATGTTTAAGGATACAGCAGGTGTGACTGAAAGAAGAGCAATGTTTAAGGTCAAAGCCGCTGTGACGAAAAGAAGAGCAATGTTTAAGGTCAAAGCCGCTGTGACGAAAAGAAGAGCAATGTTTAAGGTCAAAGCCGCTGTGACTGAAAGAAGAGCAATGTTTAAGGTTAAAGCCGCTGTGACTGAAAGAAGAGCAATGTTTAAGGTTAAAGCCGCTGTGACTGAAAGAAGAGCAATGTTTAAGGTTAAAGCCGCTGTGACGAAAAGAAGAGCAATGTTTAAGGTCAAAGCCTCTGTTACTGAAAGAAGAGCAACGTTTCTAAAATTAGTTCTACATCACATAACTGGACCAAGCCTTGTGAATAGCTTTCACTCGATATAAGAAACAAGCCTATAATTTTAGGGTAGAAAAGTCAAGATTAATGTGTTATGTATATTTAATTTGCATTGTTTTTTTTATTTCAGTATATGCTATGGATAGTTATATTTTGGACTTGATTTTGTCCAAAATCAAGTTCATTTTCCATCTGATCTGAATAATTGATGTTTTCTTAATTCTATGAAAAACTAATGCATAGCTCAATTTTTTTTCAAGGATTTTTTATGAGTATGGGTTTAATATTAGGATCAATATTGACTCCTGGTCTGAGTCAAGAACCTTGTGTTTTCCATGTCCTTTATTATATTTATAATAACAGACCTTCGAATTATAACTAAGTATGTATGTATGTGTGTGTCTGTGTGTGCGTGTAATTTAGATTTTCAACGTAGCTTTCAGCAATTTTTCAATCGTATCGCTACGATGTTTGCAATGTGACAGTTTATAGTGATGTGTAGCACCAGGGCATCATACCGCAGACATGTGGCATGATGTCCTACCCAGTCACATTATCCTGAAACCAGGCGCTGCTCTGACCACTAGGCCACTGGAGCGGTCTAATTATACCTAAGATTTTACATTTTCACTTTGTATTTTAGGGGAATAAATTATCGGTTGAATTCTACAAAATTTGTTGGTTCTCACTATTTTCTACTACTTATTTTCAGATATAGATAGATAATACATGTGATTAAAGGAAGCTCAATGATTTCCTCACAATAGCATTAGTTTTATATAACAAACCAGGGCCAAACGTTTTAGATAATTTGCACTTGGAATTAAGTAGAAGCCTATCGAATTTGGGTTCGGAAAGTCAAAGGTAACGTGAATGTAACTGACAATATAAATGGTTTCAGCAAAATAGCATTAGTTTTGCATCACATACCTGGACACGTGATTTAGTGTGATTTAGATTTTTAACGTAGTTTTTAACAATTTTTCAGTCATATCGCTACGATGTCTGCAGTGTGACAGTTTCTAGTGATGTCTAGCACTGGGGCATCATGCCGCAGACATGTGGTATGATGTCCCACCCAGTCACATTATCTATTATCCTGGCACCAGGCCGACTAGTCCTAACACTAACCTCTTAATGCTCAGCGCCACGCGAGGCAGATTTTAGTTCCATTTTTTTATGTTTTTGGTATGACTCGGCAGGGGATCGAACCCACGACCTCCCTCATCTGAGGCGGACGCTCTAACCACTAGGCTGCCAGAACGGTCAGACCTGGATAAAACATTGTGGATAGCTCGCATCCTTTGGTAAGGAATACTTTTTCTATTTGTGATTCAAAAGTTCAAAGGGGAACATCAGTATGAGTGAAAGAAAAAATAATTTATGCACAACAGGTGTTCTGTATTAAAGACCAAAAGTTGCTGATAGGTTTGCAGTTTGGAAAATAAAGGAGCTTATTAGTTTGGGGGTCAAAAAGATGAAAGGCAAAAGTTAACGCGGCTAGCAGAAGTAATATGGTTTCTGCAGCAACAAAAGAAAAACCAGTTTTCGACAATGTACCTACATCAACGTGTAAGATGGCTTCTGCGTTGTGTAAGAAAGAAGTCTATTGATTTTCTGGTTGAAAGGTCAATGTGAATTTAGCGCCCAAATGATCAAAAGCCAAAGTCACCATTGCTGCTAGAAGAAAAATGATTTCTGAACAATTTCAGTTATTGACCTCGAACTTGCATCAACCTGTAGGGTGACTTACAAGGTGTGTAAGAAATAGGTTAGAAAGGCAAAATGTCAAGGTCACTGTAACTAAAAGAAACAAATCTGTTTGTTTTTTTGCACAACAAAACATTGAGTTCTCCCTCACAGACCTGGACTAAACGTTGTCGATATATTACAAGAACTTCAGTTCTTAACAAATTATCATGACCAACATTTATGGAATGCTTGCACTTATGGGTATGGAAGAGGTTTGTTAATCAAAAGATCAAAGTTGAAGGTTATTATGACTCAAATAAAATGAGCTTTAAAAAAATAAATTTTATTCTAGAGTTAGTTCCTTTACTAAATTTAGTACATGCTTCTCACATAAATTCAAACTATATATTGTTGGGTCTAGATATCACGGTCATGGTAAGGCCGTTGAGAAGACAGTGATTTCACCATAGTAATTTTAGTTCCTAAGAGAACTATACTGATATACGGAATCCAATAGACTTTTTTATTCTTAAGGAATGCGTTTGGATTGGTTCCACAAAGTGACTGAGTCTCTCTCTCTCTCTCTCTCTCTCTCTCTCTCTCTCTCTCTCTCTCTCTCTCTCTCTCTCTCTCTCTCTCTCTCTCTCTCTCTTTCTCTCTCTCTCTCTCTCTCTCTCTCTCTCTCTCTCTCTCTCTCTCTCTCTCTCTCTCTCTCTCTCTCTCTCTCTCTCTCTCTCTCTCTCTCTCTCTCTCTCTCTGGCATAGAAAGTGTCCCAAAATTTCTCTTTTGGAAACATTAGGTATTTAACGACGTTTTCGATATATTAAATATATCAAATACATTTTTGTGCTTAAAGATGACAAACAAATTACTTTAAAACAAAGCTGTAGTAATGAGAGACACTGAAGCAATAAATGTGCTCTATTTTTGTGGCACCTGGCGAGTCATGCAGAAAATCACTATTGACTGTACGAAAAATAGAGTCTATAAGTTGTGGAATATGGGAATACGATCAATATCATTTGTCAGAGTAAGTTAAAAAGTACATTCAAGTTATTGACTGCAAATAAAATGTACAGTACTTACATTCGTAAAGTTGAAAAACCAGGAAACATTTATTGAAAGTGTTTCCAGTCAAAACGGTATTTTTAACAAATCGGACGAAATAATAAATTGAAGACCGATTTCTATAAATACATACAAAATTAGTACATTACAATTTGAAACTTATACAAGAAAATAACAACGTAACAATCTCGAGTCAATATTCTGTATTATTTTCATAATCATGGTTATTAAGAAGCAAGCATGCTTATTACTATATAACCATGTTTATTCTTATATAACTATGTTTATTACTACATGACCATACTTGTTGTTATATAATCATGCTTATTACTAAATAAATATGTTTATTACTACATAATCATGTTTATTACTACATAACCATACTTGTCATTATATAATCATGCTTATTACTAAATAAATATGTTTATTACTACATAATCATGTTTATTACTAAATACCTTTGCTTTTTACTATATAACTGTGCTTATTACTATATAACATTGCTTCTTACTACATAACAATGATTTTTACTATACAACTATGTTTATTACTCCATGACTATATTTATTACTACATAACCATGCAAATTATTATATAACCATGATTATTACTATATACCTATGTTTATTAGTACATAGCCATATTTATTACTACATAACCCTGCTTACTACTATACAACCATTCTGGTTACTATATAAATATATTAGTACATCACCATGCTTATTACTACATAATCATGCTTATTGCTACATAACCAAGCTTATTACTATATACCATGTTAATTACTACACAACCATGCATGTAGCTATATTGTCATGCTTATTACCACAAACCATGCTTATTGCTACATAATCATGCTTATTGCTACATAACAATTATTATTACTACATAAGTATGATTATTACTACATGACAATGTTTATTGCTATATAATCATGCGTATTACTACAAGATGGAGAGTATTGTAAATACTATCGATTCGGATTAGCTGTATCATTTGTCTCCGCAATATCAAAGAAATAAAAAGTAGCTTTCTCTAACATTGCCAGTGTATTCCCATTGTAAAGGACCACATTTGAGGTCGATCTTTGTTTTGTTATTGTTAGTTGTGGTAGAACATATTTAGTAGGACACGTGTACTATTAACGAGATTATGGGGAATGACTGCATTTACAGAGCCATTATGTACAGATTGGTTCAGCCAAAGCCAGGAGTCATCGATATATAATTAAGACTTAATTTGTTTAAACTGACCGGAAGGGGTCAAATTCTGATCAGTTTGATTCATGTTGCATGAATGGTCTATATTTATGCTCCATTTAGTCAAAGCTGCATTGAAATGCAGAGAGCATATTCACATGTAATGATCGCATAGCCGAAAAAGCATATAAATATACATGTAGATTCTCCAGCTATTGTAGGTATAACATTATGCAATATACTATCAATTGTAAGGCTTTTAGGACCCTACTCTCTCTATCTTACACGTGAGCGGAGAAGGTTTCAAAAGTGTTTCTATTTCACATTTGACAAAGGTATCCTCCGTTGCGCTTGAGCGGAACTAGCATTAATACACATCATCTATAGATAGTTATTTAGCACTTTCAACCAAAAATAGACACGATATGGCAATACATCGTTCAGCATTTGCTGGTGTCAGCTATATTTGACCGAATTAAAGCTAGGTCTAGCAGAATTGTGTCTGGAACAATCAGACATGGTCTGAATCTATTGTTCTAACTAGTTTGTTCAATTTGTTTGTGTTTCTTTTTATTCCTTGTTAAAATTGCAAAAGTGCATCAAGTAGCAAAACAACAGGTTTGATATGCACTGCAGCTGAGATGAAAGAAATGGACTTCTTCGAAATGTTGAATAAATAATGCAAATCAATTATTTTGATAATAAGATATAACGCTGCACCCATACCTTGGATGAAAAATGGTACAAACTGCTGCCTCGCTTGGCGCTCAACATTAATAGGTTAGTGTTAGGACTGGTCGGCCTGGTGTCACGATAATGTGACTGGATGGGACATCATGGTGCATGTTTGTTAAAACTACGTTAAAAATCCAATTCTCTCTCTCTCTCTCTCTCACACACACACACACACACACACACACACACACACACACACACACACACACAGGGTTTAAAAAGCAATCAGTCTTTGTCCTGCCATTTTAAGAGGTGTAAGCCTTAAAATACGTCCAGTACATTTATCATCTGTGGTGTTTGTTGCTAATAAACTTAAATAAGTCCCAGTACAGAGTGATGAAAATGCGGGAGAAAATGGAAACCGATTAATATTGCGATCAGGAAAGTAATTGTAATCAGTTGCTTGTTGTTACAACGCAGAACTACTTCTCTCATACAAATAATAATTGGAACATAGCAAAAAGATGGTTTGCATACCTAGGAATAGATGTCTAAAACAGGATCGAACTAAAATATTCTTATAAAGAATTCCATCCCTCCATGGCTTTATACCCCGAACTCCAAATGTATCCCTAGAGTATCTTCTCACCTGGTACAAAGACACACAGGGATCAGTTTTACTGCCTACAACAATGCGTCTTTTCATGCCCGGTAAGTGTCTATACGATTATAGAGCAGTTATCGATATAGTTTCCAAGTTATGATCAAGCGGTCAAATTCCTTGGGGTACATATAGACCAGTATCAATGACAATGTTAGTTAACTTGTATATCTTAACTTCTCGTGTAGAATAAATGTGTGTATGGTTATAGGGCGATGATCTCAATAGTTCATATATTATGACCCAAAAGGCCCAAATTGAATGTTTCAAGGTTATGACCAAGGAGTCTCACTAACACAACCAACCCGCCATCAAAATACGTTGATTAGTGATCATACACGCCAATTCTTCTCAGACATGGCAGTCTTGTAATTTGGGAGTTACTTCAAGTTTATTGCGAAACGATTTCCACACCAGTCACCAGTAAAGGCACTAAAATGCTACAACAGTCATGTATATGTGCATATTACTCCAAATTATGCTTCATGGTCCGAAGTCTCTAGCATGATTCAGTTTTGATATTATTTACGTAAATGTTTGGAACAGCGCGGTGATAAAAATAACAAATGAATAATTTTGTAGGACAACGATAATGAGGTAAAAAGACAACAAATGTATATATAAGAATTGAAGACGATGATGTCCAAACATTTTTTGGCATCGAGTCATTGTATGCTTTTAACAATCATTACCAGACCTTTCAGCTCATTTTGCTCTCATATCAAAACTTTTATTTAACAGCAAATCTAAAGTTATAAATTTAATTCAGTAAACATCCATATCATCCTTAAATTTATGGCAGAAAAAGAAAAAATCTATTATATTCTTAACTTTTTTTTTACACATTGACACAGAGAAATCTGGATAAAATCCGATCTCCGCTGTTCACGTAGGACAGTATATACCTGATTTTAATCAGACTGAGTTAGTGATGCATCTGAGGAACGCACTGTAAAGATGTTCTTTTGAACT